TATCAGGGAGTCATACTGAGACCAAGGTCTATTTTGAGCCCTGAATTACATAAATTACAGAAAATACACACATCAACTTGATTGGTTGATTTTGGCCTGGGCAACAGAGAAGTCCTCTACAAAAGAGTCCTTGTGTTACAGCATACCAAGACTGTCCCATTGTGTTACAGCATACCAAGACTGTCCCATTGTCTTAGAGCAGTCCAAGACTATTACATTGTCTTAGAGCATACCAAGACTGTCCCATTGTCTTAGAGCATACCAAGACTGTCCCATTGTCTTACAGCATACCAAGACTGTCCCATTGTCTTAGAGCATACCAAGACTGTCCCATTGTCTTAGAGCAGTCCAAGACTGTCCCATTGTCTTAGAGCATACCAAGACTGTCCCATTGTCTTACAGCATACCAAGACTATCCCATTGTCTTAGAGCATACCAAGACTGTCCCATTGTCTTAGAGCAGTCCAAGACTGTCCCATTGTCTTACAGCATACCAAGACTGTCCCATTGTCTTAGAGCAGTCCAAGACTGTCCCATTGTCTTAGAGCAGTCCAAGACTGTCCCATTGTCTTAGAGCATACCAAGACTGTCCCATTGTCTTACAGCATACCAAGACTGTCCCATTGTCTTAGAGCATACCAAGACTGTCCCATTGTCTTAGAGCAGTCCAAGACTGTCCCATTGTCTTACAGCATACCAAGACTGTCCCATTGTCTTAGAGCAGTCCAAGACTGTCCCATTGTCTTAGAGCAGTCCAAGACTGTCCCATTGTCTTACAGCAATCCAAGTCTGTGTCATTAGCATATCTGCTCACTATCCCACATGAACCATGATTTAATCAATCACATAGCTACATGCTTGTATTCTGGAAATGTCCATTATTTGAATAGGTATCTCAACTTTATGTATTGAAACTCTATGTATTGAAACTCTATGTGAGCCTTACAATTTTCTCAGTGTTATTTAGCAGGGAGGCTGAAAGCTCAGTGTTATTTAGCAGTTTGAAAGTTAACATTGCATTTGTGATTAGAAAGTGCTGTTCCTATGTCCATTCTTTATTGGCCATGTAGTGTTGACCACTATCAATGCCACAATGGTCCAGGAGCAGGCCATGCTTTCCTCTGCTCAGAACCATAAGGTTAGCATGGTGCAAGAGGCATGGGGGGTGGGGTGGGGTGGGTGGGAGGTGAGAGCCAGGTGGGAGTCAGAGGAGGAACTCCGGGCAGAGTCAAGGGGGAGTTCTGTCAGTAATTCAGGGGGCTCGTCAGAGGGCGACGCCTGTCTGAGGGGAACCATGAAGAACCACGGGGGGCCAGGGGGCAGGCCTCAGGCTCCTCCACCTCAACACATGTGTTCCTGAGCTCAGATCTAACTCCCCTATGGACGACCCTCAGAAGAGCATTCGCCTGGAAAACGATCTGACAGGTGTCTGCACAAACACATAACACAAACAACCCAGGTTTTAATTAAACCTGGCCTAAGAGCCATATCAGAAGATCATTAAACATCCGCAGGGCTGGGAAACATAAAAACAACACATTGAACACAGCGTCAATGCCTCGCTCAATCAGGCACACTGAATTAATTGTTTATATAGTGTGACTGTCAAAAGTCATCTAGATGATTATGATGGGCCTAAATTGCAGTGGAATGAGGTGATGTGAAGATAAATGATGGAAGTGAAACCATCATATAAAAATACTCCAATCTGCCAAAATCACACAAACATAAACAAATAAACTGTCTGCCAGACATGTGCACACAGGTACTCACGCACGGACTCACGCAAACACACACAGTGGCCCTGTTCAAGAGCATCCAAATTGTGATGTATCATGGGTAAATTGTGATTGACTGACTGTTCTACACATACTATTCAATAGATACTGTACTTATGATGCAAGGTGATTTGCAGATCAGTCAGTCTCGACCTTTAACCCCCTAAGGTCGATGTCCGCGCCCCCTCGAAAGTCTAAGTAGCATAATAACAAATAAAAACATCAGTTTAAACTAGAGATATCAGTTTTTTTGGATTTGATTCAATCCACCACATCCGCCTGTGTAACACTTGACGAGCGTCACGGGACTCGTCTGAAGTCGGTACAGCCGTTCTGCCAACTTCTGTCTGTAGCGTCGGAACAGTTTGACCTACACACTAGTATGACCCCTCTCTGGAAAGGTGAGACTCTCACGAACACGTATATTGTTTTGCTCCTGTATTTAAAGCTGTATGGTGATGATACATTATTACAATAGAGGCAATAATATCCACAGTGGCCCGTGTATGCAAATAGTGGTGTAAAAAATTTAAAAGGAAGTTTTGTTTTGGAGTGTCTATCCTATATCTAAGATATATAAGAAAGATCAAGAAACATTTCTTATTTTTTTTACATTTATTTAACCCCTTATTTTTGTCACTAAACAGTCTCCATATATACAGTACTTCCGCCTGTGGGCGTCACAAGCCTTGTCTGAAGGTCCCCCGGTACCATTTGAAAAAATTTATGGAATTATATATGGAGACTGTTTAGTGACAAAAATAAGGGGTTAAATAAATGTAAAAAAAAAATAAGAAATGTTTCCTGATCTTTCATTTATATCTCAGATAAAGGATAGACACTCCAAAACAAACTTCCCTTCTAATTATTTACACCACTATTTCCATTAACTTCAAACAGACATACATACCCCACCAGACACGCCATAATGGGTTTCTTCCCGGTACCTAAACCAAAAATAGATTTAATGTGTCGCTCAGTTATGCACAGAGCCATGTCATCGTGGAATGCTCTGCCACCAGAGGTTACTCAGGCAAAAAGCAAGTTTAGCTTAAAGAAACAGATAAAACACACACTGTATCACAGCGCCTCTCCCCTTTTAAAGCTCTCATTTAACTGTACTGTCTATTACAATATGAGTATGTAGACATGAATAGTGTGTAAATTGTCTTTTTGTTGTCTCTTGGTGTCTTTCAATTATTTAATGTAATATGTTACGTTGTTCTTGTCTATTACTGTTCTGTACTGTGTCATGAATTTGTTTTATGTGGACCCCAGGAAGAGTAGCTGCTGCATGTACAGGGGCTATTGGGGATCCTATTAAACTAAACTCCTCAGCAACACACTAGTGCAGACAGCATTCTACTCACCATGTCAACAGTCAGCCCTGAAGCTCTACTACACAGCTGAAGCCCTGGAGCTCTACCAAACAGCTGAAGCCTTGGAGCTCTATCACACAGCTGAAGCCCTGGAGCTCTACTACACAGCTGAAGCCCTGGAGCTCTACCAAACAGCTGAAGCCTTGGAGCTCTATCACACAGCTGAAGCCCTGGAGCTCTACCACACAGCTGAAGCCTTGGAGCTCTACCAAACAGCTGAAGCCCTGGAGCTCTACCACACAGCTGAAGCCCTGGGGCTCTACCACACAGCTGAAGCCCTGGATCTCTACCACACAGCTGAAGCCCTGGAGCTCTACCACACAGCTGAAGCCCTGAAGCTCTACTAAACAGCTGAAGCCCTGGAGCTCTACCACACAGCTGAAGCCCTGGAGCTCTACCACACAGCTGAAGCCCTGAAGCTCTACTAAACAGCTGAAGCCCTGGAGCTCTACCACACAGCTGAAGCCCTGGAGCTCTACCACACAGCTGAAGCCTTGGAGCTCTATCACACAGATGAAGCCCTGGAGCTCTACCACACAGCTGAAGCCCTGGAGCTCTACTACACAGCTGAAGCCCTGGAGCTCTACCACACAGCTGAAGCCTTGGAGCTCTATCACACAGCTGAAGCCCTGGAGCTCTACCACACAGCTGAAGCCCTGGAGCTCTACCACACAGCTGAAGCCCTGGAGCTCTACCACACAGCTGAAGCCCTGGAGCTCTACCACACAGCTGAAGCCCTGGAGCTATACCACACAGCTGAAGCCTTGGATCTCTATCACACAGCTGAAGCCCTGGAGCTCTACCACACAGCTGACACCCTGGAGCTCTACCACACAGCTGAAGCCCTGGAGCTCTACTACATAGCTGAAGCCCTGGAGCTCTACCACATAGCTGAAGCCCTGGAGCTCTACCACACAGCTGAAGCCTTGGAGTTCTATCACACAGCTGAAGCCCTGGAGCTCTACCACACAGCTGAAGCCTTGGAGCTCTACCACACAGCTGAAGCCTTGGAGCTCTACCACACAGCTGAAGCCATGGAGCTCTACCACACAGCTGATTCCCTGGAGCTCTACCACACAGCTGAAGCCTTGGAGCTCTACCACACAGCTGAAGCCTTGGAGCTCTATCACACAGCTGAAGCCATGGAGCTCTACCACACAGCTGATTCCCTGGAACTCTATCACACAGCTGAAGCCCTGGAGCTCTACTACACAGCTGAAGTCATGGAGCTCTACCACACAGCTGAAGCCCTGGAGCTCTACCACACAGCTGAAGCCCTGGAGCTCTACCACACAGCTAAAGCCCTGGAGCTCTACCAGACAGCTGAAGCCCTGGAGCTCTACCACACAGCTGAAGCCTTGGAGCTCTACCAAACAGCTGAAGCCCTGGAGCTCTACCAGACAGCTGAAGCCCTGAAGTTCTACCACACAGCTGAAGCCCTGGAGCTCTACCAGACAGCTGAAGCCCTGGAGCTCTACCACACAGTTGAAGCCCTGGAGCCCTATCACACAGTTATGGCCAAACTGGGAGACAGGACATACCCCTTCATTATGCTCTTGACATACAGGATAGTGTAATTTAATATAATATATAGCTGATGATGTCCCTCATGCCCTAAAATGTCATCCGGTCATCCTGTCTTTGAAGCTGTTTGGTGATGATACATTATTACAAATATCCACAGTGGCCCGTAGAGACCGTCCCATCACGTTTGTCTCTGATTGGATAACTTTAGTCCACCATGCCCTGCAGCTGTCTGTGTGAGTATAAAACTCAATGTAGGATTCTGCTCAGGTCTCAGGTCAGGGAGTGAACCCCCTCAGAGTGTGTTTGAGAGTGTGTGATGCCGCTGCTCTGGGTGGTAGTGTTGGGGGTGTTAGGAGACTTTGGGGCAGAGGGAGAGGAGTCTCTCTGTCGGATACTGGGGAGCCCAGAGTTCCCTCTGCTGTCCAAGGAAGGAGACGTGACTATAGGAGGAGCCTTCTCCATCCACAGCAAAATCACAGAGCCCCCGCTCTCCTTCACAGAAACACCACCTCCTCTCACCTGCTCCAGGTAAGCTCCTCTTTGGTTACAGTTTATTGAATATTTGGCTATTTTATTATTATTTCATTTTGAGGGGGAAATGTAAAAAAAATAAAAAACAAAAATAACCACCACTTTTGTGGTTGTATGCTCATGATTTGTATGACTTTAACTCATATTTTTCTTTATCTTCCTCTAGTGTAAACCTCAGAGAGTTCCGATTTGCTCAGACCATGATCTTTGCCATCGAGGAGATCAACAACAGTGACATTCTGCTTCCGAATGTCTCTATTGGATATCGTATCTATGACAACTGCGGCTCGACTCTGTCCTCCATGCGTGCGGCCATGGCCCTGATGAACGGTCATGAGAGGACGGTGGGAAAGACCTGCTCTGGCCAATCAGCAGTCCACGCCATCATCGGAGAGTCAGAGTCCTCCTCCACCATAGTGATGTCACGCACCACAGGCCCATTCCAAATACCTGTGGTAAGAGGCCCTATAGGAGAAGCTATTGACATTATATGAGAATTTAAGTCAATCTTGTTTTTAGTGTGTTCACTTCCGTCTCTTTCTCTCTCTGTCTCTCTCCCTTTCTCTCTCGTCCTCTCTCTCTCTCTCTTCTGTAGATCAGCCACTCTGCCACATGCGAGTGCCTAAGCAGCAGGAAGGAGTACCCTTCTTTCTTCAGAACCATCGCCAGTGACCTCTATCAGAGCAGAGCCCTGGCCCAGCTGGTCAAGTACTTTGGCTGGAGCTGGGTGGGAGCGGTCAATAGTGATAGTGACTACGGTAATAACGGCATGGCTATCTTCCTGGCTGCAGCCCAGGAGGAGGGCGTCTGTGTGGAATACTCAGAGAAGTTCAGCCGGACGGAGCTAGGGAAGCTGTTAAAGGTTGTGGATGTGATCCGAGCGGGGACGGCCAGGGTGATCGTAGGCTTTCTGGCCCACGTGGAGATGAACAACCTGCTGGAGCAGCTCAGTCTGCAGAACATCACCGGCCTGCAGTTTATTGGTGTGGAGGCCTGGATCACTGCAGACAGCCTGGTCACCCCTACTAGCTACAGTGTGCTGGGGGGTTCACTGGGTTTTGCTGTACAGAAGACCAACATTAGCGGCTTCTTCGACTTTGTGACAAAGCAGTTCTGGGAGACGGCATTTCAATGCACAGAGACAAGCCACCAGGAGAATGCAACGCTGAGTAGGCCTTGTAGTGAGAGTCAGGATCTGATGGAGCTGAGAGGTTATAATGCAGATGTGGAAGAGCTCAGATACTCTAGTAATATCTATAAAGCCATATATGCAGTGGCCCACTCTCTGCACATCTTGCTGAAGTGCAAAACGGAACGCGGATGTGATCAAAATGTGAAAACTGAACCTTGGCAGGTAACAGCAACTACACTTCCACTATTCTCTATTCCTCACCGCCAGTGTAACTGAAAATATTTTTTTTTACTTTTTTTCCTTTGTCCAGGTAGTGGAGTCTCTGAAGCAGGTGAATTTCACTATAAAGACGGGGGACCAGGTGTGGTTTGACAGTACCGGTGCTGCAGCAGCCGTGTATGAGGTGGTGAACTGGGCCAGAGGGCCAGACGGAGGCGTCCAGTTTAAACCAGTGGGTTACTATGATGCCTCCCTACCCCCTGGACAACAGTTTGTCCTCAGGACAGAGGACATCATGTGGCCTGGGGGGCATCAGGTACAGTAAATAGCTGCTCCCAGGTTAAAACAAATTGTTTACAAACACAAACGTTTCTGAATAAAAGAAGCTTACCGGTTAGAGCGTTGGGCCAGTAACTAAAAAGGTTGCTGGTTCGAGAACCCTGCTGGAGTAAAACGTGTAACATTTAGAGTAAACCGTGTATGCTCTCTGTCCCCTAAAGATGCCCGTGTCAGTGTGCAGTGAGAGCTGTCCCCCAGGCACTCGTAAGGCTGCACAGAAAGGAAAGCCTGTCTGCTGTTATGACTGTATCCCATGTGCAGAGGGAGAGATCAGCAACGCTACAGGTACCACAATCCCAACAATCAACCTACACAGAACTTATACAAATTGCGCACTGTGTGTCCTAATCCAGTTTTTCAGGGTTCATTCCTTGGTCAATGTAATGTCTAGATTATGACATCATGTCTTCTATTTTACTCCTATTCATGATTTCCTTTCAGATTCTAATGGCTGCGTACACTGCCCTGAGGAGTACTGGTCAAATCCTGGCAGAGACATGTGTATATTAAAGGCTATTGAGTTCCTGACCTTTACTGAGGTCATGGGGATAGTACTTATGCTTTTCTCCTTGTTTGGAGTGTTTCTAGCTGTGCTTGTGGCTATTCTCTTCTTGATAAAGAAGGACACTCCCATCGTCAGGGCCAACAACTCTGAGCTGAGCTTCCTGCTGCTCTTCTCCTTGACTCTGTGTTTTCTGTGTTCTCTTACTTTCATTGGCCGGCCCTCTGAGTGGTCCTGTATGCTGCGCCACACAGCGTTTGGGATCACCTTCGTCCTCTGCATCTCTTGTGTTCTGGGGAAAACAATAGTGGTGTTGATGGCCTTCAGGGCTACACTTCCAGACAGTAATGTCATGAAATGGTTTGGGCCTCCACAGCAGAGACTCAGTGTTCTGGCTTTCACTCTCATACAGGTCCTGATCTGTGTTCTCTGGTTAACAGTCTCCCCTCCTTTCCCCTACAAGAATATGAAGACCTATAAGGAAAAGATCATTCTAGAGTGTGATGTGGGTTCAGCCATTGGTTTCTGGGCTGTGTTGGGGTATATAGGACTCCTGGCTCTCTTGTGCTTTGTGCTGGCTTTTCTGGCTCGAAAGCTGCCTGATAACTTCAATGAGGCCAAATTCATCACCTTCAGCATGCTCATATTCTGTGCAGTCTGGATCACCTTTATCCCAGCTTATGTCAGCTCTCCTGGGAAGTTCACTGTAGCTGTGGAGATATTTGCTATTCTGGCCTCTAGTTATGGGTTGCTTTTCTGTTTATTTGCACCTAAATGTTATATAATCCTGTTTAAACCTGAGCTAAATACCAAGAAACACATGATGGGGAAAATGAAATAAAAACATGCAATGTACTGTAATGATCATTTTTCCTAAAATCTTTCCATGTGCTGCTCTGCTTGATCAAGTAATAAATGGAATTGGGAATGCGTTAAGCTTCAGTGCTATTCTGTCAACATACAGTACAAGCACCCCACTGCAAGTGAAAGACACACAAGCAAATGGCATGTCCTTATTCTGGCAAATATGCTACTGGGTCTTTCCACAAAGTGAGTCCCTTTTGGGTAGTGTAACTTGGTGAAAACAAAAGTTTGATTTCACCTGATTTTAACATTCTGTCACGAAGCGCACATGTTCAATTTAATAAAAAAACATGTTGTCCCATCTCAAGAGGTTAAAATAAAATAAAATAAACTATAGTCAGTGCCTATGAAAGTTAGAGTCCTGAATTGAAACAATTACAAAGCCAACTCCCCGCCTCAGTTTTGGTAAAAAATCTGAGGGATGCGCCTGGAGAAATTAATCTGTTAAAACGTTTCTAGCCTGTCTATCTATGGCCAACAGGGTTGTTGCTATGGGCAACTCAGTTTTCCACCACAAAACACCAGAAAATGAAAGAAAGAGTAGAACCACCTCAACTGCTTTTCAAATCAAATCAAATCTAATTTTATTTGCCACATGCGCCGAATACAACAGGTGTAGACTTACTGAAATGCTTACTTACAGCCCTTAACCAACAATGCATGTATTTCTTCATATAAAAGTAAAATAAAACAACAACTAAAAAAAGTGTTTAGAAAAAAAGAGCAGAAGTTAAAATAAAATAACAGTAGGGAGGCTATATACAGGGGGGTACCGGTGCAGAGTCAATGTGCGGGGTCACCGGCTAGTTGACGTAGTTGAGGTAATATGTACATGTGGGTAGAGTTAAAGTGACTATGCATAAATCATTAACAGAGTAGCAGCAGCGTGAAAAGAAGGGTTGGGGTGCAAATAGTCTGCGTAGCCATGATTAGCTGTTCAGGAGTCTTATGGCTTGGAGGTAGAAGCTGTTGAGAAGCCTTTTGGACCTAGACTTGGTGCTCCGGTACCGCTTGCCGTGCGGTAGCAGAGAGAACAGTCTATGACTAGGGTGGCTGGAGTCTTTGACAATTTTGAGGGCCTTCCTCTGACACCGCCTGGTATAGAGGTCCTGGATGGCAGGAAGCTTGGCCCCAGTGATGTACTGGGCCGTACGCACTACCCTCTGTAGTGCCTTGCGGTCGGAGGCCGAGCAGTTGCCATACCAGGCGGTGATGCAACCAGTCAGGATGCTCTCGATGGTGCAGCTGTATAACTTTTTGAGGATCTGAGGACCCATGCCAAATCTTTACACTGTGATTTGACTAATAGATGTTCCAAAAAATATTTTAAAAGGAATAGTTTCACTAAATTAAAACGAAAGTTGAGTTTACGTAACAGGGTTGACCTTAAAATGAGGGACAGTTTTTTATTTTTTAAATAAAAAATCACATTAATAAATAATAATCTTCAGAAATGACTTTGTCAAAACAACAAAATAACTAGGGTTTAAAAACTAAAATCTGATTCATTTAATAAAACAGGCTTTTAAAATTCAATATTGGTGCACAATTTCTACTTAAAATATCAAAGGGACGCAAAAGGGACTCATTTCGTGGAACGACCCTACTCCATATTAGAGACACCACCTAAATGAAACCAACTATACAGACAAAGGACTTGAATTTGACACCTTCATCCACCTGTATATGCTGGCATTAGCGGTCCCCAAATACACAAAGAACACACACAACCTGTATTCGTTATCCGTCACTAGGACAATGTGTTTAACAACATTGGTCAAACTTACACTACCGGTCAAAAGTTTTAGAACACATACTCATTAAAGGGTTTTTCTTTATTTTTACTATTTTCTACATTGTAGAATAATAGTGAAGACATCAAAACTATGAAATAACACATATGGAATCATGTAGTAACCAAATAAGTGTTAAACAAATCAAAATATATTTTATATTTAGAGATTCTTCAAATAGCCACCCTTTGCCTTGATGACAGCTTTGCACACTCTTGGCATTCTCTCAACCAGCTTCATGAGGTAGACCCCTGGAATGCATTTCAATTAACAAGTGTGCCTTCTAAAAACGTAATTTGTGGAATTTATTTCCTTCTTAATGCATTTGAGCCAATCAGTTGTGTTGTGACAAGGTGTGGGGGGGTATACAGAAGATAGCCCTATTTGGGAAAAGACCAAGTCCATATAACATTTACATTACATTTACATTTACGTCATTTAGCAGACGCTCTTATCCAAAGCGACTTACAAATTGGTGCATTCACCCTATAGCCAGTGGGATAACCACTTTACAATGTATTTATTTTTTTAGGGGGGGGGGGGGGGGGGGGGGGGGTAGAAGGATTACTTTATCCTATACCAGGTATTCCTTAAAGAGGTGGGGTTCCAAGTGTCTCCGGAAGGTGGTGAGTGACTCCGCTGTCCTGGCGTCGTGAGGGAGCTTGTTCCACCATTGGGGTGCCAGAGCAGCGAACAGTTTTGACTGGGCTGAGCGGGAACTATGCTTCCGCAGAGGAAGGGGAGCCAGCAGGCCAGAGGTGGATGAACGCAATGCCCTCGTTTGGGTGTAGGGACTGATCAGAGCCTGAAGGTACGGAGGTGCCGTTCCCCTCACAGCTCCATAGGCAAGCACCATGGTCTTATAACAGATGCGAGCTTCAACTGGAAGCCAGTGGAGTGTGCGGAGGAGCGGGGTGACGTGAGAGAACTTGGGAAGGTTGAACACCAGACGGGCTGCGGCATTCTGGATGAGTTGTAGGGGTTTAATGGCACAGGCAGGGAGCCCAGCCAACAGCGAGTTGCAGTAATCCAGACGGGAGATGACAAGTGCCTGGATTAGGACCTGTGCCGCTTCCTGTGTAAGGCAGGATCGTACTCTCCGAATGTTGTAGAGCATGAACCTGCAGGATCGGGTCACCACCTTGATGTTAGCGGAGAACGACAGGGTGTTGTCCAGGGTCACGCCAAGGCTCTTCGCACTCTGGGAGGAGGACACAACGGAGTTGTCAACCGTGATGGCGAGATCATGGAACGGGCAGTCCTTCCCCGGGAGGAAGAGCAGCTCCGTCTTGCCAAGGTTCAGCTTGAGGTGGTGATCCGTCATCCATACTGATATGTCTGCCAGACATGCAGAGATGCGATTTGCCACCTGGTTATCAGAAGGGGGAAAGGAGAAGATTAGTTGTGTATCGTCAGCGTAGCAATGATAGGAGAGGCCATGTGAGGATATGACAGAGCCAAGTGACTTGGTGTATAGCGAGAATAGGAGAGGGCCTAGAACTGAGCCCTGGGGGACACCAGTGGTGAGAGCACGTGGTGCGGAGACAGCTTCTCGCCACGCCACTTGGTAGGAGCGACCGGTCAGGTAGGACGCAATCCAAGAGTGAGCCGCGCCGGAGATGCCCAGCTCGGAGAGGGTGGAGAGGAGGATCTGATGGTTCACAGTATCAAAGGCAGCAGACAGGTCTAGAAGGACAAGAGCAGAGGAGAGAGAGTTAGCTTTAGCAGTGCGGAGAGCCTCCGTGACACAGAGAAGAGCAGTCTCAGTTGAATGACCAGTCCTGAAACCTGACTGGTTTGGATCAAGAAGGTCATTCTGAGAGAGATAGCAAGAGAGTTGGCTAAAGACGGCACGCTCAATAGTTTTGGAAAGAAAAGAAAGAAGGGATACTGGTCTGTAGTTGTTGACATCAGAGGGATCGAGTGTTGGTTTTTTGAGAAGGGGTGCAACTCTCGCTCTCTTGAAGACGGAAGGGACATAGCCAGCGGTCAAGGATGAGTTGATCAGCGAGGTGAGGTAGGGGAGAAGGTCACCGGAGATGGTCTGGAGAAGAGAGGAGGGGATGGGGTCAAGCGGGCAGGTTGTTGGGCGGCCTGCAGTCACAAGTCGCGAGATTTTATCTGGAGAGAGAGGGGAGAAAGAAGTCAAAGCATAGGGTAGGGCAGTGTGAGCAGGACCAGCAGTGTCATTAGACTTAACAAACGAGGATCGGATGTCGTCAACCTTCTTTTCAAAGTGGTTGACGAAGTCATCCACAGAGAGGGAGGAGGGGGGGGGGGGGGGGGGGAGGATTCAGCAGGGAGGAGAATGTGGCAAAAAGAGCTTCCTAGGGTTAGAGGCAGATGCTTGGAATTTAGAGTGGTAGAAAGTGGCCTTAGCAGCAGAAACAGATGAAGAAAATGTAGAGAGGAGGGAGTGAAAAGATGCCAGGTCCGCAGGGAGTCTAGTTTTCTTCCATTTCCGCTCAGCTGCCCGGAGCTCTGTTCTGTGAGCTCGCAATGAGTCATCAAGCCACGGAGCTGGAGGGGAGGACCGAGCCGGCCAGGAGGATAGGGGACACAGAGAGTCAAAGGATGCAGAAAGGGAGGAGAGGAGGGTTGAGGAGGCAGAATCAGGAGATTGGAGGGAGAAGGATTGAGCAGAGGGAAGAGATGATAGGATGGAAGAGGAGAGAGTAGTGGGAGAGAGAGAGCGAAGGTTGCGGCGGCGCATTACCATCTGTGTAGGGGCAGAGTGAGTAGTGTTGGAGGAGAGTGAGAGAGAAAAGGATACAAAGTAGTGGTCGGAGACATGGAGGGGAGTTGCAGTGAGATTAGTAGAAGAGCAGCATCTAGTAAAGATGAGGTCAAGCGTATTGCCTGCCTTGTGAGTAGGGGGGGACGGTGAGAGGGTGAGGTCAAAAGAGGAGAGGAGTGGAAAGAAGGAGGCAGAGAGAAATGAGTCAAATGTAGACGTAGGGAGGTTGAAATCCCCCAAAACTGTGAGGGGTGAGCCATCCTCAGGAAAGGAACTTATCAAGGCGTCAAGCTCATTGATGAACTCTCCAAGGGAACCTGGAGGGCGATAGATGACAAGGATATTAAGCTTAAATGGGCTAGTGACTGTGACAGCATGGAATTCAAATGAGGAGATAGACAGATGGGTTAGGGGAAAAATTGAGAATGTCCACTTGGGAGAGATGAGGATTCCTGTGCCACCACCCCTCTGACCAGATGCTCTCGGGGTATGCGAGAACACATGGTCAGACGAGGAGAGAGCAGTAGGAGTAGCAGTGTTTTCAGTGGTAATCCATGTTTCCGTCAGCGCCAGGAAGTCGAGGGACTGGAGGGTAGCATAGGCTGGGATGAATTCAGCCTTGTTGGCAGCAGAACGGCAGTTCCAGAGGCTGCCTGAGACCTGGAACTCCAGGTGTGTGGTGCGTGCAGGGACCACCAGGTTAGAGAGGCAGCAGCCACGCGGTGTGAGGCGTTTGTGTAGCCTGTGCGGAGAGGAGAGAACAGGGATAGGCAGAGGCATAGTTGACAGGCTGTAGCAAATGGCTACAATAATGCAGAGGAGATCGGAATGAAATGAACTAAACATCTGGGAAAGGAGAGAGCGGGGCCTCCCTCACCACAACTCCCAAATATAACTCTCCCAACTTCCACCTCAGAAACTATAATTGTTTCACTGAAACACCCGAATAAAACTCTCCCAACTTCTACTTTAGAAATGAGAATTGTTGTAAACTACAGCGGTTCAATGTTTCAAGGAATAGACTCAACTTACTTTATTCAGCTAGCTAACTATGACGCCATAGCTAACTAGCATGCTAGCATCCAATAACACACGGTTTAGCACCAATACTTGGTTACAACAAACTACCAATAGTGTGTTAACACACTAAACAGATAATTTGTGTCCGTGTCTAGTTCCTTTCATAACGCAGCAATAATTAAACGTTGGCTAGCTAGCACAAAGATATTGTATTTAGCTGCTACAGTACTGCTAGCTGGTAGTGTTGGCTAGCTAGCAATGGCTGCTGTGTTGACTTTGTTTGAAAAACGGCGTCGCTGCGAACGAATGTAGCTGGCTAAAATTATATTGTATTTAGTTGCTATAGTACTGCTAGCTGGTAGCGTTGGCTAGCTAGCAATGGCTGCGGTGATGACTTTGTTTGAAAAACGGCGTCGCTGCGAACAAATGTAGCTGGCTAAAAGGATATTGTATTTAGTTGCTTCAGTACTGCTAGCTGGTAGCTGGTAGTGTTGGCTAGCTAGCAATGGCTGCGGTGTTGACTTTGTTTGAAAAACGGCGTCGCTGCGAACGAATGTAGCTGGCTAGCTAACCTCGATAGTTACTCTATACTACACCTTTATCTTTGATACAAATACAACTATGTAGCTAGCTAACATTACACTAATCAAATTGTTCCATTGTAATGTAATGTGTCATATTACCTGCGGAGCGAAGTACAGCATGACTATTCACCTCACCTCGCCTGCCGTGAACGGCAAGAACGACAGTCCATCATTACTTTAAGACATGAAGGTCAGTCAATACGGAACATTTAAAGAACTTTGAACGTTTCTTCAAGTGCTGTCGCAAAAACCATCAAGCGCTATGATGAAACTGGCTCTCATGAGGACCGCCACAGGAATGGAAGACCCAGAGTTACCTCTGCTGCAGAGGATAAGTTCATTAGAGTTTCCAGCCTCAGAGATTGCAGCCCAAATAAATGCTTCACAGAGTTCAAGTAACAGACACATCTCAACATCAGCTGTTCAGAGGGGACTGTGTGAATCAGGCCTTCATGGTCGAATTGCTGCAAAGAAACCACTACTAAAGGACACCAATAATAAGAAGAGACCTGCTTGGGCCAAGATACATGAAAAAGGACATTAGACTGGTGGAAATTTGTCCTTTGGTCTGGAGTCCAAATTGGAGATTTTTGGTTCCAACCGCTGTGTCTTTTTGAGACGCGGTGTTGGTGAACGGATGATCTCCGCTAGTGTATTTCCCACCGTAAAGCATGGAGGAGGAGGTGTGATGGTGTGGGGGTGCTTTGCTGGTGACACTGTCTGTGATTTACTTCTAAAGTACATGAATTCTACACTCTTAGAAGAAAGTTGCTATCTAGAACCTAAAAGGGTTCTTCGGCTGTCCCCATAGGAGAACCCTTCGAAGAACCCTTTTTGGTTCCAGGTAGAATCTTTTTGGATTCCATGTAAAACCCTTTCCACAGATGGTTCTACGTGGAACCCAAACGTTTTTTTAAATCTGGAACCAAATAGTGTTCTCCTACTGGGACAGCGTACGTCAGTACATGGTGATTATTTTAACTCTTGCAGGTGTTGAGTTACCTGCGAGACGAAAACTTCACCATGAAGTCTGGGGAGAGAGTTGATTTTGATGAGAACAGAGACCCCACAGCCACCTATGAGCTGGTGAACTGGCAGAGAGAGCAGGCAGGAGAGACTGTGTTTGTGACAGTGAGGAATTACGATGCCTCTCTCCCTAATGGAGACCAGTTTACCATGAATAGGATAAAGATAGCATGGGTTGGCAATCTCTTAATGGTACACAGTAACACATGGCATCTCTTAAAGGTAAAGAGTAACACATGGCATCTCTTAAAGGTAAAGAGTAACACATGGCATCTCTTAAAGGTAAAGAGTAACACATGGCATCTCTTAAAGGTAAAGAGTAACACATGGCATCTCTTAAAGGTACACAGTAACACATGGCATCTCTTAAAGGTAAAGAGTAACACATGGCATCTCTTAAAGGTACACAGTAACACATGGCATTTCTTAAAGGTACACAGTAACACATGGCATCTCTTAAAGGTACACAGTAACACATGGCATCTCTTAAAGACCATGGTGCTTGTCTACGGAGCTGTGAGGGGAACGGCACCTCCGTACCTTCAGGCTCTGATCAGTCCCTACACCCAAACGAGGGCATTGCGTTTATCCACCTTTAGGCTGCTGGCCCCCCTACCTCTGCGGAAGCACAGTTCCCGCTCAGCCCAGTCAAAACTGTTCGCTGCTCTGGCACCCCAATGGTGGAACAAGCTCCCTCACGACGACAGGACGGCGGAGTCACTCACCACCTTCCGGAGACAATTGAAACCCCACCTCTTTAAGGAATACCTGGGATAGGATAAATTAATCCTTCTACCACCCCCCTTACCCCACCCCCCCCAAAAAAATAAAAATAGATATATATTGTAAAGTGGTTATCCCACTAGCTATAAGGTAAATGCACCGATTTGTAAGTCGCTCTGGATAAGAGCTGCTAAATGACGTAAATATAAATGTAAATGTTAAAGGTACACAGTAACACATGGCAGCAGTTGCAGGTACTTTTAGAGAATACAGATAATTAGATTAAATATATTTTAATTGGTGGGAGAAATCTGATGACACATACAATGTGTATGTGATAATGAATTGAATTGAATGATTGTGTGACCAAGAGGTTAATAACTTGACTGAAGGAGAAAAGAGAGAGAGAGCCAGAGAGAGGGAGTGAGTGAGCAGGTGTTGTATTGGTGTTTCAGAGGCCTCGGTCTGTGTAGTGACAGCTGCCTCCCAGGGTTCCGCCAGGCAGAGATCTGCTGTTTGTCATGTATGTGCTGCTGGGGATATAATCAACCTAACAGGTGAGACAACTGATACTACATCCAGCGCTAGCTTCTTGGGGACCCTAAGATGAATGGTCCGGGAGCCCCCTAGCAGCCGCATACGTCTCTTAGTAGCCGGGCTCTGACTGATACTAACCAAATCCACTGACCTAAAAGATACATCAACTGTAGAATACGTGTTCACTTTTAGAATATAATACGCTACTTGATTATAATTAAATCAGTGTTGTGACATGAGCATTTTCCTTTGTAGATTCAGCTGAACGCACACGGTGTTCCCTGGAATACTGGTCAAACGGAGACAAGAGTCGCTGTGTCCCGAAGTAGGTGGAATATCTCTCATTTGACGAAATCACGGGAATCCTCCTGGCTGCAATCTCATTGGTCGGAGCGTGTTTAACCACAGTGGTGGCATTGGTTTTCGTTCACTTCCAAGAGACTCCCATCGTCAGGGCCAACCACTCAGCTTCCTGCTGCTCTTCTCCTTGACTCTGTGTTTTCTGTGTTCTCTTACTTTCATTGGCCGGCCCTCTGAGTGGTCCTGTATGCTGCGCCACACAGCGTTTGGGATCACCTTCGTCCTCTGCATCTCTTGTGTTCTGGGGAAAACAATAGTGGTGTTGATGGCCTTCAGGGCTACAATTCCAGACAGTAATGTCATGAAATGGTTTGGGCCTCCACAGCAGAGATTGACTGTAGTGTCCTTCACGTTTGTCCAGGCTTTGATATGCACTCTGTGGTTGGTCCTGTCCCCTCCCTTCCCCATTAAAAACCTCACTACCTACAAGCAAAGGATCATTCTAGAGTGTGATGTGGGTTCAGCCATTGGTTTCTGGGCTGTGTTGGGGTATATAGGACTCCTGGCTCTCTTGTGCTTTGTGCTGGCTTTTCTGGCTCGGAAGCTGCCTGATAACTTCAATGAGGCCAAATTCATCACCTTCAGCATGCTCATATTCTGTGCAGTCTGGATCACCTTTATCCCAGCTTATGTCAGCTCTCCTGGGAAGTTCACTGTAGCTGTGGAGATCTTTGTTATTCTGACCTCTAGCTTTGGGTTGCTTTTCTGTATATTTGCACCTAAATGTTTCATATTACTGAAAGCAGAGATAAATACAAAGAAAAACAATAATGTAATTACGGACTGTTGGAAATGTACAGAACTGGGACCTAGAGGAAAATGTTTTACATTTCAGTCAGGGGGAGGCTTTAGTATTTTAGTATTTTTTAAAATCTAGTCCAGGGGACTTTTTCATGTTATTTGTAATTGATAACATTCCAACATTTTTTAGAATGAGTTGCTTATTAAGCTATATCTCCATGTGTGCCCGATGCCACCCCTCATCTCTGATTCTCCACCCTGCGCTCAATATTAAGTGTGCCTATAGGCTATTTAGTGTGGTCTCAATCAAATTATCCATACCTTAGGCTAGGCAATACGAAGAGCATGTTCGGAGAAGAACAGGGCACAGTTATATTTCTAAGAAAATTAACTTATTTCTCGAGTCTTTTGCGCTGCTGGGATGGTGTAAATAAAACTAGGCTGCATCCAATTGTCTCATTCCTCCCCTTCCTCTCCCCTGTAACTATTCCCCAGGTTGTTGCCGTAAACGAGAATGTGTTCTCCGTCAACTTATCTGGTAAAATAAGGGTAAAAAATAAAAATAAAAATCAAACTGCAATGGATATTCCAACCCAGAGCCCCGGCCTGCTCTGCTCTTGCTGATCAAAACCTTTTATCGTGGTGCCTAACCAATGGCTGAACTGTGTACGGTGGCAGTTTTGGAGGCGAGTCAAAGGCTTTTTCTGAAATGTGTTTTTGATTAGTCCGAAGAAATTACATATAGTTTATACTAGCCTATTATGGGAGAGCGTGAAGATGAGAAGGAGGACCAGAGGTCATCTTTGATAGCTTACTACTACTATACTTGATTTTAACAACAACAATATGTTTCTTGCCCATGAAGAAGCTACTTATGAGTGTAAGGGTTGGTGTGAGGTGTGACCCAGGTATGGTGCAGGATAGACAGTAGGCAGTAGGCAGAGATGGTGAAACAAGGAACTTTACTGATGGTCCCGAAGCCAGGATACAAAATAACAGACTTTACACAAAAAAGAAAGGCGGAGCAAATAAGACTCCAAAAAAAAGGCAGACAGCCAAAATACGAAATACTAACTATGACTGAAATAATAAATAAACAGGGAGAACACTTTTCACGTACAGTGAGGGAAAAAAGTATTTGATCCCCTGCTGATTTTGTATGTTTGCCCACTGACAAAGAAATTATCAGTCTATAATTTTAATGGTAGGTATTTGAACAGTGAGAGACAGAATAACAACAACAAAAAATCCAGAAAAACGCATGTCAAACATTTTATAAATTTATTTGCATTTTAATGAGGGAAATATGTATTTGACCACCTCTCAATCAGAAAGATTTCTGGCTCCCAGGTGTCTTTTATACAGGTAACGAGCAGAGATTAGGAGCACACTCTTAAAGGGAGTGCTCCTAATCTCAGTTTGTTACCTGTATAAAAGACACCCGTCCACAGAAGCAATCAATCAATCAGATTCCAAACTCTCCACCATGGCCAAGACCAAAGAGCTCTCCAAGGATGTCAGGGACAAGATTGTAGACCTACAGAAGGCTGGAATGGGCTACAAGACAGCTTGGTGAGAAGGTGACAACAGTTGGTGCGATTATTCGCAAATGGAAGAAAAACAAAAGAACTGTCAATCTCCCTCGGCCTGGGGCTCCATGCAAGATCTCACCTCGTGGAGTTGCGATGATCATGAGAACGGTGAGGAATCAGCCCAGAACTACACGGGAGGATCTTGTCAATGATCTCAAGGCAGCTGGGACCATAGTCACCAAGAAAAAACAATTGGTAACACACTACGCCGTGAAGGACTGAAATCCTGCAGCGCCCGCAAGGTCCCCCTGCTCAAGAAAGCACATATACAGGCCCGTCTGAAGTTTGCCAATGAACATGAAAGTGTTGTGGTCAGATGAGACCAAAATGGAGCTCTTTGGCATCAACTCAACTCGCCGTGTTTGGAGGAGGAGGAATGCTGCCTATGACCCCAAGAACACCATCCCCACCGTCAAACATGGAGGTGGAAACATAATGCTTTGGGGGTGTTTTTCTGCTAAGGGGACAGGACAACTTCACCGCATCAAAGGGACGATGGACGGGGCCATGTACCGTCAAATCTTGGGTGAGAACCTCCTTCCCTCAGCCAGGGCATTGAAAATGGGTCGTGGATGGGTATTCCAGCATGACAATGACCCAAAACACACGGCCAAGGCAACAAAGGAGTGGCTCAAGAAGAAGCACATTAAGGTCCTGGAGTGGCCTAGCCAGTCTCCAGACCTTCATCCCATAGAAAATCTGTGGAGGGAGCTGAAGGTTCGAGTTGCCAAACGTCAGCCTCGAAACCTTAATGACTTGGAGAAGATCTGCAAACAGGAGTGGGACAAAATCCCTCCTGAGATGTGTGCAAACCTGGTGGCCAACTACAAGAAACGTCTGACCTCTGTGATTGCCAACAAGGGTTTTTCCACCAAGTACTAAGTCATGTTTTGCAGAGGGGTCAAATACTTATTTCCCTAATTAAAATGCAAATCAATTCATAACATTCTTGACATGTGTTTTTCTGGATTTTGTTGTTGTTATTCTGTCTCTCACTGTTCCAATAAACCTACCATTACAATTATAGACTGATCATGTCTTTGTCAGTGGGCAAACGTACAAAATCAGCAGGGAATCAAATACTTTTTTCCCTCATTGTACCTGTCCATATGTCCCGCGATCAGACACTGATTAGTACTGCTTGTCATAGTGAAAACTGAGCAAGGGAGCACATGGAAGTGAGGGCATAAATACACATGTGAATCAGATAGACAGAGGTGACACCAAAAGGAAGATGATTAGTCCAGACTGTGAGTGAGGAGGTGCCTAAGGTTGTCGGAGGATGACACCTAGTGGGTCGCTCCAGAACTGCGACCCCCTCCTTTAACAATGAGAGTTACGAAGGTGTACTTAATGTTTTGTACACTCAGTGTATAATGGTACATTGGTATGTGATGCTTTATGCTAGAAACACGCTGTAAAATACCCAGGAAATACTTTTTTTTTGCAGGGCGTAGCATATCATACAAAATGTATTACATTGCACACAATTGTGGACCATTTTCGGGGACCCGTTTTGGTTACCTGGAAGAGTAGCCAGCAGTTAAAGCTTACATTTTTTCTGTGTTTGTAGGCCTACTCTGTCTGGGGTGGAAAGGTAGGCCTAACTTTTGAAAGTACCATGCTTACATTCATAATGACATCTCAGATTTAATTATTTGCAAACAGCGACAGTTTCGTTGCAAACAAAACACACTGATTTGGCATTGGAGAAATATGATAAGGTGAATGCATAGGCCTATTTCTCTGTCTATTCTTAGCATGTCATTTCGGTCATTTGTGTGGTATTAAAACATATTCTGATCAAGGCCTCCAGTCATGTAACATGACATAGGATTGAAACACATGAAATGCGCTTATAAAAGGCTACTTTGTCTCTGACCCGCAAATACAATGATAGACTCATGCAATGCTTTTATTATAAAGGAGATCTTTCTACCCTTAGTCTTGTCCATGGTGGTCTGCGAACCCACAACTTTTGGCCCGCATCCCTTTGTGCTATCCAAATTGTTAGGTTGCCATTGAATGCTTACGAGAAAAATAACAGTTTCCAGAACTGCATATCGGCTCTGGGCCCGGTTTCCCAAAAGCATCTTAAGGCTAAGTTCATCATAAAATCTCTGAGCTTTTTCCCAAAACCATCGTCATTAACGTTGCACTTGAAAACGCTCTTAATCTCATTTCTGCCTCAGACCTCTCGTAGAACAGCTAAGTGCATCGTTAAATGCTTTTTTTGCCCTCCCGTGTCACTTTATACACACTTTATGAGGGAGAGGGGGTGGGGAGGGTGTGGGCGTTGGACAAGTGCGCAGGTTGCCCCCGAAATGGTCAGTATTGTGAAATAATTATAATGCTGAGGTAAGATTTGAATGGAGAAAGCTGATCAGAGAGCAGCGCTGCTTTTCTTTTCGATCCTATCAATATCGACATATTATGCTCCAACGACGCACTTAGCGACCGTTCTCGCTGCGTGATGTTTTGGGAAACGCATGTAAAATCTTCGGCTGTTGTAGGAAAGACGCATCGTTAAAACACTCGTAAGCCTAAGTTCCATCGCTATCGGGAAACCGGGCCCTGGTCTAAAACTGCATACCGAAGGCCCTGGTCTGTCCTAGGAGTGGAGGGTGAACGGTAGGCATGTCCTCTGCTGTCCACTTTATGTTTTAATTAATATTATTTTGGGTACAGGGGAGGGTCACTTGTTTTTTTTTCAATCTTTCATGGAGGGTTTAGTACAAAATTCAAAAGGCACTCGCACGTCTGTGCTATCTTTTGTTGCAGGTGCAAGGTAACAGTTGAATAAGATGAGAAAAAATAAGAAACCCGCACACTGCTCTTGATAGTATCACTGCTCTTGATAGTATCACTGCTCTTGATAGTATCACTGCTCTTGATATTATCACTACTCTTGATAGTATCACTGCTCTAGATAGTATCACTGCTCTTGATAGTGTCACTGCTCTCGATAGTGTCACAGCTCTCGATAGTATCACTGCTCTTGATAGTATCACTGCTCTTGATAGTGTCACTGCTCTTGATAGTGTCACTACTCTTGATAGTATCACTGCTCTTGATAGTATCACTGCTCTCGATAGCATCACTGCTCTTGATAGTATCACTGCTCTTGATAGTATCACTGCTCTCGATAGCATCACTGCTCTTGATAGTATCACTGCTCTTGATAGTATCACTGCTCTTTATTAAGCTTTACGTATCGACCTGAAGGCCTTTCTCAGAGCTTTTGTGCATTTTATTTTTAAATTAGCACCCTTATGTAGACATAGCTCCACCCACATCCGTTCAATGCATCGAATGGGGTTGGAGTCGAGGGAAAATAAGTAAAGTGTTACCAAATATAACAATGTGCATTTTTTAAGTATTCTAATAAAGTGTATACATAAAACGTATTAAACACGTCTGTAAAACCACAATGAGGACATCGACCCATCAGCGACTGGAGGGTTTAGTTGAAATAAATATTTGCTGAATGGAGGGCCATCCATTTTCATTTCAGATAGGTCTGATTTTCTCTAGGTACCCCTTATTATAAATAACCTACAGTACATGTTGACTGATTGAAATAAGTTATTTCCCAAGGACAAATTATAACTAGAAAAAACAATAACGCTAAACCATTCACTAATAATCAAAAAACTACTTTGTTGTATTTCTGCCTGAATTGCAGTTTCACCGGAAACGTTCTGATTTCCCCAAAGACTCGCCATGTCAAAAAACAAGGTTTCTTCAGAGAAGTAATCTTTTAGAATCTATATTCAGAAGTGACTGAGTCATTGGTTCTGGGAAAGACACACGGGACTACACTATTCTTATTTAACACCCGATAGGCCAACTCTTTTGTTGTGAGTGTCATCATTGGTGGAAACCGAGACATTGAAACATTTCTAAGCTCCTATAGCATCATACCCATCATTAATGGTAACATATAAAAGGAGCACAGGGGGAGGGTTGTCAGGACCGTGAGAGGTGAGAGACTCAGTGAAAAGCTATGCTGCAACTAGCAGACCTCCTGGTGATCACTCTGGTGACAGTGACAGCTAAGGCTGGGGAGCCTGTGTGCAGACTTTATGGAACAAAAGAACTGTCACAGTTCTCAAAGGAGGGAGACATCAATTTAGGAGGCATTTTTTCCTTTCACCAAAACCCAGTCAGTGTGAATCCAACTCTGCAGGTCAACCCAGGAATGATCACATGTGAAGGGTAAGAAATTGTTGAAAAATAGTTTAGTGTGAATCATAATGCTTATGTCTCTGTTCACATGTACAAACATGTATGGTCACAGGTGTGTATATTATGGTCACAGGTGTGTATATTATGGTCACAGGTGAGTAAGAAAAATCATATTCAAAAAGTGTTGAAAACCGTCTGTCTCCGGCTGGGATTTCACTGACTAAATGCTTTATACGTCTGTCTCTGGCTTGGATTTCACTGACTAAAACTGAAGTGACAGCACTAGATCTCCTCTCTGCAGGCTGGACCCAGGTGAGCTCCAGTATGCCCAGACCATGATCTTTGCCATAGAGGAGATCAATAACAGTTCTGAGCTGCTGCCAGGCCTGTCTCTGGGCTACAGGATCTTTGACTCGTGCCCCAGCATCCCCCTGTCTGTTCGGGCGTCCCTGGCTCTGATGAACGGACACGAGGAGGAGTCACAGAGCTGCACCAAGCCCTCCACCGTGCACGCTGTCATAGGGGAGACCACCTCCACCTCGACCATAGCCATGGCGCTCACCATGGGGCCCTTCCACATACCTGTGGTGAGTCAGGGAGTGTATGGGTGTGTGTGTGTATGTACTGAAAGAGAAAGGCAGAGATTATACTATGTGAAAACACTGCCTCGCCTAAGTACTACGTTGGAGCAGTGTGTAAGAAACGTCTGTCTTCTGTCTTCCAGCTCAGTCATTCAGCCACCTGTGCTTGTCTGAGTAACAGAAGGCAATACCCTTCGTTCTTCAGAACCATCCCCAGTGACTTCTATCAGAGTAGAGCCCTGGCGAAGCTGGTCAAACACTTTGGCTGGACCTGGGTGGGGGCCATCAGAACCAACAGTGACTATGGTAACAATGGCATGGCCACCTTCCTGAAAGCAGCGTCCAGTGAAGGGGTGTGTGTAGAGTACTCAGTGGCAATCTACAGGACCGACCCCAGAGAGTGGTTCCTAAAGGTGGTGGACATCATTAAACAGTCCACCTCCAAGGTGATCGTGGCGTTTGCAGACGGCACAGACCTGGACATCCTCATCAAAGAGCTGTACCTGCAGAACGTGACTGGGCTGCAGTGGGTGGGTAGCGAGGGTTGGATCACCTACCGTTACATCGCCTCCCACGTCAACTACGCCGTGGTCCAAGGGGCGGTGGGCTTCGCCGTGCCCAACGCGGTCATCCCCGGCCTGGGGGAGTTCTTGGCCGACAGACGACCCTCCACCCAGCTGGGGGACAGGGGGCTGGTGGAGTTATGGGAGAGTGTGTTCAGCTGCAGCATGACTCCTGACTCACAGGGCTCCCCAGTCAGAGCCTGCACAGGGAGGGAGTCCCTGAGAGACAGTGGCTCCCGCTACACGGATGTGTCAGACGCTAGTCTGCTCAACAACATCTACAAAGCTGTGTATGCTGTGGCTCACGCTCTACACCTGCTCACTTCCTGTCAGAGTGGACAGGGGCCTTTTCAAAATAACACGTGTCCAGACATGGATAAAATAGAGCCTTGGCAGGTAAAGTACCTCTGTGGCTTTTTACCAAGCAAACAGATAACACCTGTAGCCTGTGACAGCAGGTCGGGGGGGGGAGAAAGCAACACACGTCTATTTATTTTCTTCCTCCAGGTGTTGCACTACCTGACCCAGGTGAACTTCACCACTAAGCATGGGGAGAGGGTGTTCTTTGATGAGCAGGGGGATCCATCGGCACGCTACGCCCTGGTCAACTGGCAGATGGATAACACAGGGTACATCTTGTTCGAGACCATCGGCTACTATGACGACTCACAGCCAGAGGGAAAGAAGTTTGAGATGAAGGAGGGTGTGAGTGCCGTCTGGGCAGGCAATCAGCCTGAGGTAAGGACCTGTTAGGGAGAGCCCTCCTTCAATCATTCAACACAAGTGTGACTGTGTTCCTTTAAGCCAAGTCTTTTTTACAGTGAGAGTTTTGTGTTAAAGTATACTGTATACTTGTGTGTGACTAAATATGAGTGATCCCTTGGGGTAAAGTGTGGCTGTGCGTTCTAGGTACCCAGGTCTATCTGCAGTGAGAGCTGTCTGCCAGGGACCCGCAGGGCCTTCGTTAAGGGGAAACCTGTCTGTTGCTTTGACTGCATCGAATGTGCAGACGGGGAGTTCAGCAACACCACAAGTGAGACCTCGGGACTCGTAGCCTTTACTCTAGCCTTCATCATGTTCATGTTGGGAAGAATCTCAGCCAGCACTTTACTGGTCTATCTAAAGATGTACTCGCTGTACATAATCAAACTGTTTATGTTTTCAGATGCAGTGACATGTACAACATGCCCCCCTGAGTACAAGTCAAACGAAGAGAGGAATAACTGTAATTTGAAAGGCATTGAATACCTCACCTTCAGGGAACTCATGGGTATAATGTTGGTGGCATTCTCTGTGTTTGGTGGATGTCTGACAATGACAATAGCGCTGATATTCTTCCACTACAGAAAGACTCCCATCGTCAGGGCCAACAACTCTGAGCTGAGCTTCCTGCTGCTCTTCTCCTTGACTCTGTGTTTTCTGTGTTCTCTTACTTTCATTGGCCGGCCCTCTGAGTGGTCCTGTATGCTGCGCCACACAGCGTTTGGGATCACCTTCGTCCTCTGCATCTCTTGTGTTCTGGGGAAAACAATAGTGGTGTTGATGGCCTTCAGGGCTACACTTCCAGGCAGTAATGTCATGAAATGGTTTGGGCCTCCACAGCAGAGATTGACTGTAGTGTCCTTCACGTTTGTCCAGGCTTTGATATGCACTCTGTGGTTGGTCCTGTCCCCTCCCTTCCCCGTTAAAAACATCACTACCTACAAGGAAAAGATCATTCTAGAGTGTGATGTGGGTTCAGCCATTGGTTTCTGGGCTGTGTTGGGGTATATAGGACTCCTGGCTCTCTTGTGCTTTGTGCTGGCTTTTCTGGCTCGAAAGCTGCCTGATAACTTCAATGAGGCCAAATTCATCACCTTCAGCATGCTCATATTCTGTGCAGTCTGGATCACCTTTATCCCTGCTTATGTCAGCTCTCCTGGGAAGTTCACTGTAGCTGTGGAGATCTTTGCCATTCTGGCCTCTAGTTATGGAATGCTATTTTGTATATTTCTCCCGAAATGCTACATCATTTTATGTAAACCAGAGAAAAACACAAAAAAACATTTGATGGGTAACATGTCATCAAAAGCACTTTGACTTCGTTGCAACACCTATCGAATATACTTTACATTACTGACTTGAAAATGTTTCGATGTTAGATGATATTGTTTATACAGTCTTTGTCTAATATAATGTTTTTAGATAATATGACATATTGTAAGTTTCATCTCGTATCTTTATATCCTAATCTGTGCGATATTCAATAAATTGTGGCCGATAATGGTTTCTCTGCTAATTTCTCAAAGATCTCTTCTCAACTGTGATGAATAACCATTGAAACTCAGTGGAACTAATAATATATTGACATCACATCTGCGAGGTCTATTAAAAGGTAAAATCACAACCCCAATTCAATAAACTTATCATGTTGCCTATTTTAAGGGGTCCTTATTACATGTGTAATTACATTGTAACAAGTGTTGTAGTTAATTATTGGAACTTAAAGTTACACTGTATTAACAACATGTGACTGATGGTAACTGCAATCTGTAAATACAGAGGTGTAACAACAAATGCTTGTTACTGTGCTTGTTACAAATGGGCAAGTTTCCACTAAATTCACCAATGTAGCGTTTGGTTTCTTCTCAGCTGAATCTGTTTCAGTAATAATTGTCACAGGGTTGTGATCTCTTGTGGACAGATGCGCTGGGTGTCAGAGGTTAAAGGTTAAAGGTTGGAGGATCAGTAGGCTCTAATTACCTACCCGTGAATGTGCACTCTTCAAAAATCTCCATTCAATGTTGTTGCTAGCACTTTTGATAACATTTGGTTGAGTTTACAAAAACAGATCAGATACAGGTCAACGTCACTGACTGGGGTCCACCGTATGGATGTCATCCCAGATTATAATATTTGTACTTGTAATTATTGTGTACCCATTATGACAACCTGGACCTCCTTGCCATCCAAGTCAGAGGATAAACCCACTAGCACACCACATAGTACATGTAATATCAGCGTAAGTAGAACGTAATTAATAGGTGTTACACAGGATTGACCTAGTTAAAATGAAGTGTATTTCTATGTAATTAATTATTACTCAATACCAAGTGAAAATACCTACAAAAGATGAGCTTCTACTTTAGTCAACTTTATTGAAACATGTAAAAAATTACATTTCTTATGAAATAATAAGGACTTTTAATTCGATTAAACAAAGATATTGTCAATAATCAATAACATAAATCTGTAGCCTACAGTATGGTGAATAGCCTCGATCAGTGGTTCCTCAAACTGTGGGTTGATACCCACTTTTGGGTCGCGGCATGGGTCCAGGTGGGTCGCGGGATGATTCTTTTATATATATATATATATATTTTTTAAAATTGATTTTAGGAATGGAAAAACACCTTCAGTGTAAACTTAAATGACAAAAAAACAAATAGATAGTATATAGAACAGATAATGGACCTACACTACCCAGTCAAATGTTTTAGAACACCTACTCATTCAAGGGTTTTTCTTTATATTTTACTATTTTCTACATTGTAGAATAATAGTGAAGACATCAAAAATATGAAATGACACATATGGAATCATGTAGTAACCCAAAAAGTTTTAAACAAATCTAAATATATTTTATATTAGAGATTTTTCAAATTGCCTTGATGACAGCTTTACACACTCTTGGCATTCTCTCAACCAGCTTCATGAGGTAGTCACCTGGAATGCATTTCAATTAACAGGTGTGCCTTCTTAAAAGTTAAGTTGTGGAATTTCTTTCCATCTTAATGCGTTTGAGCCAATCAGTTGTGTTGTGACAAGGAATACAGAAGATAGCCCTATTTGGTAAAAGACCAAGTCCATATTATGGAAAGAACAGCTCAAATAAGCAAAGAGAAATGACAGTCCATCATTACTTTAAGACAATGAAGGTCAGTCAATATGGAAAATGTAAAAAACTTTGAACGTTTCTTCAAGTGCAGTCGCAAAAACCATCAAGTGCTATGACAAACTGGCTTTACTGCTTTTATTTTTTACTTATCTATTGTTTACTTAACACTTATTTTTCTTAAAAGTGCATTGTTGGTTGAGGGCTTGTAAGTAAGCATTTCACTGTAAGGTCTACACCTGTTGTATTCGGCGCATGTGACAAATACAATTTTATTTTATTTTATTTGTTGAGGACCGCCACAGGAATGGAAGACCCAGAGCTACCTCTGCTGCAGAGGATAAGTTCGTTAGAGTTACCAGCCTCAGAAATTGCAGCCCAAATAAATGCTTCACAGAGTTCAAGTAACAGACACATCTCAACATCAACTGTTCAGAGGAGACTGTGTGAATCAGGCCTTCATTACACTTCATGGTAGAATTGCTGTAAAGAAACCACTACTAAAGGACACCAATAAGAAGAAGAGACTTGCTTGGGCCAAGAAACACGAGCAATAAACATTAGACCGGTGGAAATTTGTCCTTTAGTCTGGAGTCCAAATTTGAGATGTTTTATTCCAACCGTTGTGTCTTTATGAGACGTGATGTGGGTGAACGGATGATCTCCACATGTGTACCACCGTAAAGCATGGAGGAGGAGGTGTTATGGTGTGGGGGTGCTTTGCTGGTGACACTATCTGTGATTTATTTAGAATTCAAGGCACACTTAACCAGCATGGCTACCACAAAAGTCTGCAGCATTACGCCATCCCATCTGGTTTGGGCTTTGTGGGGCTATCATTTGTTTTTAAACAGGACAATGACCCAACACACCTCCAGGCTGTGTAAGGGCTATTTCACCAAGAAGGAGAGTGATGGAGTGCTGCATCAGATGACCTGGCCTCCACAATCCCCCGACCTCAACCAAATTGAGATGGTTTGGAATGAGTCGGACCGCAGAGTGAAGGAAAAGCAGCCAACAAGTGCTCAGCATGTGTGGGAACTCCTTCAAGACTGTTGGAAAAGCATTCCAGGTGAAGCTGGTTGAGAGAATGCCAAGAGTGTGCAAAGCTGTCATCAAGGCACAGGGTGGCTATATGAAGAATCTCAAATGTAAAATATGTTGTCATTTTTTTTTACACTTTTTGGTTACTACATTACTCCATATGTGTTATTTCATAGTTTTGATGCCTTCACTGTTATTCTACAATGTAGAAAATAGTAAAAAATAAAGAAAAACCTTGAATGAGTAGGTGTTCTAAAACTTTTGACCTGTAGTGTACAGTACAAATGAGATGAAAGGGTTAGAAATGCTTACTGCTCCAACCTGTTTTGGTTCTGTAAGTGGCACTTTGAGCTCTTTTCAACGGAAGGGTCCCAGCTCCTTATGGGCCCTAGGAAAACCAAACAATATTACCCAAGTGCTAGCGCTTTTCTCTGGGTTGAGGGATAACTTTTTAGGGGAGGGACTAGAATATGAGTTGGCCTACTGTAGGCCTATGTTATAATTGAACTGAATAAAATATAAAGGATATTTTTCCCATTACAGAGTGAGTGCGCATATTAAGTGGCTATGTTAAGCGTAAAAGTGATTATTATTACAGCATAGAGTTATTTGGCAACTTTAGTTGTGAATGATACAAACCTTAGAATGTGTTAGAAATCAAAACATATATGGGCTGCGTGGTGTGGGCTGTTGATGATTTTGTGGTCCTCTGTAGCTCAGCTCGTAGAGCACGGCGCTTGTAACGCCAAGGTAGTGGGTTCGATCCCCGGGACCACCCATACACAAAAAAATGTATGCACGCATGACTGTAAGTCGCTTTGGATAAAAGCGTCTGCTAAATGGCATATTATTATTATATTGATGAAAAATCTTCCTTTACTCAGGCAAAAAGTGATCATATTTTCACCCATCAGACTATTCTCAATTTAATCTTGTTTTTACTGATATGTAGAATTAGCTTAGATTTAGAATGGCCCATTTTTTTTTTTTTTTTTTTTTTTTTGTCATTTAGCAGACGCTCTTATCCAGAGCGACTTACAGGAGCAATTAGGGTTAAGTGCCTTGCTCAAGGGCACATCGACAGATTTTTCACCTAGTCGGCTCTGGGATTAGAACCAGCAACCTTTCAGTTACTGGCACAACGCTCTTTCCCACTAACGCTCTTAATGGTGGGCAGGAACAGGGGAAAAAATACATGTCATCTGCATGTACTCAGATAGCCTTGTGAACGGAGGCTGCACGCTTTCCCACCGGTCCGTTTTGTGTACTTGGGTTTTACAGGGAGCATGTGCTTCATATGAGCAACTGAGAAATACAGTGGGGATAACAAGTATTTGATACACTGCTGATTTTGCAGGTTTTCCTACTTACAAAGCATGTAGAGGTCTGTAATTTTTATCATAGGTACACTTCAACTGTGAGAGACGGAATCTAAAACAAAAATCCAGAAAATCACATTGTATGATTTTTAAGTAATTAATTTGCATTTTATTGCATGACATAAGTATTTGATCACCTACCAACCAGTAAGAATTCCGGCTCTCACAGACCTGTTAGTTTTTCTTTAAGAAGCCCTCCTCTCCACTCATTACCTGTATTAACTGCACCTGTTTGAACTCGTTACCTGTGTAAAAGACACCTGTCCACACACTCAATCAAACAGACTCCAACCTCTCCACAATGGCCAAGACCAGAGAGCTGTGTAAGGACATCAGGGATAAAATTGTAGACCTGCACAAGGCTGGGATGGGCTACAGGACAATAGGCAAGCAGCTTGGTGAGAAGGCAACAACTGTTGGCGCAATTATTAGAAAATGGAAGAAGTTCAAGATGACGGTCAATCACCCTCGGTCTGGGGCTCCATGCAAGATCTCACCTCGTGGGGCATCAATGATCATGAGGAAGGTGAGGGATCAGCCCAGAACTACACGGCAGGACCTGGTCAATGACCTGAAGAGAGCTGGGACCACAGTCTCAAAGAAAACCATTAGTAACACACTACGCCGTCATGGATTGAAATCCTGAAGCGCACGCAAGGTCCCCCTGCTCAAGCCAGCGCATGTCCAGGCCTGTCTGAAGTTTGCCAATGACCATCTGGATGATCCAGAGGAGGAATGGGAGAAGGTCATGTGGTCTGATGAGACAAAAATAGAGCTTTTTGGTCTAAACTTCACTCACCGTGTTTGGAGGAAGAAGAAGAATGAGTACAACCCCAAGAACACCATCCCAACCGTGAAGCATGGAGGTGGAAACATCATTCTTTGTGATGCTTTTCTGCAAAGGGGACAGGACGACTGCACCGTATTGAGGGGAGGATGGATGGGGCCATGTATCGCGAGATCTTGGCCAACAACCTCCTTCCCTCAGTAAGAGCATTGAAGATGGGTCGTGGCTGGGTCTTCCAGCATGACAACGACCCGAAACACACAGCCAGGGCAACTAAGGAGTGGCTCCGTAAGAAGCATTTCAAGGTCCTGGAGTGGCCTAGCCAGTCTCCAGACCTGAATCCAATAGAAAATCTTTGGAGGGAGCTGAAAGTCCGTATTGCCCAGCGACAGCCCCGAAACCTGAAGGATCTGGAGAAGGTCTGTATGGAGGAGTGGGCCAAAATCCCTTCTGCAGTGTGTGCAAACCTGGTCAAGACCTACAGGAAACGTATGATCTCTGTAATTGCAAACAAAGGTTTCTGTACCAAATATTAAGTTCTGCTTTTCTGATGTATCAAATACTTATGTCATGCAATAAAATGCAAATTAATTACTTAAAAATCATACAATGTGATTTTCTGGATTTTTGTTTTAGATTCCGTCTCTCACAGTTGAAGTGTACCTATGATAAAAATTACAGACCTCTACATGCTTTGTAAGTTGGAAAACCTGCAAAATCGGCAGTGTATCAAATACTTGTTCTCCCCACTGTAAATATAGGAACACTTATTTCACTCACCGCATCAACCACTGTTTGAGGAGCATGCTCTCGCTGCCCTGACAGGTGATATTCCACCTAAACTCTGTATGCCATGGGCTCTCCAACCTTGTTCCTGCATCTACCCAGTGGTTAATTTGGGAAATCTGTTCCGGAACTTCAATGTTTTTGCAATGAAACATACAGTGCCTTGCAAAAGTATTCATCCCCCTTGGCGTTTTTTCCTATTTTGTTGCATTACAACCAGTAATTTAAAATGATTTTTATTTGGATTTCATGTAATGGACATACACAAAATAGTCCAAATTGGTGAAGTGAAATGAAAAAAAGAACTTGTTTCAAAAAATTCTAAAAACTAAATAACGGAAAAGTGGTGCGTGTATATGTATTCACCCCCTTTGCTATGAAGCCCCTAAATAAGATCTGGTGCAACCAATTACCTTCAGAAGTCGCATAATTAGTTAAATAATGGTCCTCTGTAGCTCAGCTGGTAGAGCACAGCGCTTGTAATGCCATGGTAGTGGGTTCGATCCCCGGGACCACCCATACACAAAAAAATTATATGCACGCATGACTGTAAGTCGCTTTGGATAAAAGCATCTGCTAAATGGCATATTATCATTAAATTAAAAATAATGTCCACCTGTGTGCAATCTAAGTGTCACATGATCTCAGTATATATACACCTGTTCTGAAAGGCCCCAGAGTCTGCAACACCACTAAGCAAGTGGCACCACCAAGCAAGCGGCACCTTGAAGACCAAGGAGCTCTCCAAACAGGTCAGGGACAAAGTTGTGGAGAAGTACAGATCAGGGTTGGGTTATAAAAAAATATCAAAAACTTTGAACATTCCACGGAGCGCCATTAAATCCATTTATAAAAATAGGAAATAATATGGCACCACAACAAACCTGCCAAGAGAGGGCCGCCCACCTAAACTCACGGATCACGCAAGGAGGGCATTAATCAGAGAGGCAACAAAGATAACCCTGAAGGAGCTGCAAAGCTCCACAGCGGAGATTGGAGTATCTGTCCATAGGAACACTTTAAGCCTTACACTCCACAGAGCTGGGATTTACGGAAGAGTGGCCAGAAAAAAGCCATTGCTTAAAGAAAAAAATAAGCAAACACGTTTGGTGTTCGCCAAACGCATGTGGGAGACTCCCCAAACATATGGCAGAAGGTACTCTGGTCAGATGAGACTAAAATTGAGCTTTTTGGCCATCAAGGAAAACGCTATGTCTGGTGCAAACCCAACACCTCTCATTACCCTGAGAACACCATCCCCACAGTGAAGCATGGTGGTGGCAGCATCATGCTGTGGGGATGTTTTTCATCAGCAGGGACTGGGAAACTGGTCAGAATTGAAGGAATGATGGATGGCGCTAAATACAGGGAAATTCTTGAGGGAAACCTGTTTCAGTCTTCCAGAGATTTGAGACTGGGATGGAGGTTCACCTTCCAGCAGGACAATGACCCTAAGCATACTGCTAAAGCAACACTAGAGTGGTTTAAGGGGAAACATTTAAATGTCTTGGAATGGCCTAGTCAATGCCCAGACCTCAATCCAATTGAGAATCTGTGGTATGACTGTACACCAGCCGAACCCATCCAACTTGAAGGAGCTGGAGCAGTTTTGCCTTGAAGAATGGGCAAAAATCCCAGTGGCTAGATGTGCCAAGCTTATAGAGACATACCCCAAGAGACTTGCAGCTGTAATTGCTGTAAAAGGTGGCTCTACAAAGTATTGAATTATTTATTGTTTGTTTCACAAATAAATATTTTGCATCTTCAAAGTGGTAGGCATGTTGTGTGAATCAAATTATACAAACCCCCTAAAAATCAATTTTAATTCCAGGTTGAAAGGCAACAAAACAGGAAAAATGCCAAGGTGGGTGAATACTTTCGCAAGACACTGTGAAAAAAAAGCAACACAAAGCTGGTTACAATTTCAATGTCATCGTCCTAAAAAGCCAGTTCAAATATTACAACAAATATTATGGTTAAACTCAAATATACTGATTGATGAAAAACCATTCTTTATGGATAAAATTATTATTATCTTTGCTAATGATATTATCAATAGGAATGGTGAAGTTATGTCACACATGCAGCTATCAAAAATGTATGGGAATATTTGCTCTATCCAATGTTAGAACCAACTGATTGCAGAATTACTGCAGAAATGTAGGAGGCGAATCAAAATGGGATGTAACTTGGAAAATGTTTGTCTGCCCTAAAGACCAAAACTGGCTGAAAAACAAAACTGGCTGAAAAAAATATACCAGTTTCATTTGAGGATTAAAATGTTGACAGTTCCGCAATTCAAGTTGCAAAATAGCTGGGAAGAGATTTTCAGTGTTCCGATTCCATGACACAAAAAACAAAGCTCGATTGAAAACTTGAAATATTATACAAAATTCTGGCCACCAACAGAATATTGTATACAGTATATGAGGCACACAACCATCTCAGCTCTGCAGTTTTTGCTGCAAAGACACAGAATCGTTAGAACATTTATTCTGGTATTGCCCCATGTAGCTTGTTTCTGGTCACAGGTTCAGGAATGGCTGACAAATCACAACATTCATTTAAAACTAACCCTACAAATAGCACCCCAGCCAACAGGGGAAGTCCTGAGAACATTTGGTGATGTTCCCATTAGGTCCCTTAAGGGTTTTGGCGCAATGTTATCCCACTGACATTCTGAGAACGTTATAAGAACATTGCGTGATGGTCCCAAGGGAACGTTCTCTGGGGGACCTTTGTCTTGTTCCCATGACGACCATGTCAGGACCTTGGTCCCCTGGATGTTTTGTCTAGTTCCTGATTGGTCCCGGGGATGGAAATTGAAATAATTACAAATATATTGTTTTATGTACTGTATGTGTTAAAATTGTCAACAAAATAAATACATATGGGAAAGCATTACAGATATTTGAAATATATCATTTTTATTTCGAGATGCCAGAAGCCTAAACGTATCTATCCACTGCTTGCTCATATTAGCAGCATAACCCAGTCTCTGTCAGTATCCCACCTCCCTCTCTCATCCTGCACCCATGGGACATACAGAATAAACACTGGAACCACGTCCCACTCATTGAAAGGGATTGTATGGGCAGTCCCAGTGTCTTAAGGGGCACTCTCACCTCTATAAAGAGAGAAACCACTCAGTCTGCCCTGTCAGACACAGCTGCCCTGCTGAAGGCTGGCGTGGCACTGAGAACAGAGGTGGTTCTGCTGCTGCTGGTGGTGGGGGTGAGCGGTATATCCAGCCCCAGCCCCAGCCTGCTCTCTGCTGGGCCAACCCGCTCTGCCGAGAGGGACATCAACATTGGGGCAGTGTTCTCCCTACATAGGAATGGCTTCTTCAAGGCCCATTCCTTCCCCTCCAGACCAGAGAAAACCCCCTGTATCAGGTATGTGTTGAAAACAACTGTCTGTAGGTACTTTCCACTGTTGTGGAATATTTCTCAAGATATATGTTTTTGTCTCTTAGCAGTGGAATTAGGCACACGGCTGAATAACACTATTGTAGATGATCTGTGTGTTTATCTTTCAACCAAAAAATATACAAATTGATTATTCTATTACACTAAACACAATACTCAAATCATCAGTTTTAGTTCAAATGCTGGCATATCTGATTCCTGGCTTCAACTCTCTGTCCAGTTTCAACCCACGTTCCAGTTTGCCCAGACCCTGATGTTTTCCCTGGAGGAGATCAACAACAGCAGTGATCTGCTGTCAGGGCTGTCTCTGGGTTACCAGGTCTTTGACTCCTGTTGCTCTGCCACTCTGGCCATCCGCTCAGCCCTGGCCCTGATTAACAGCCCTGGGCCTGAGCACATCCTGGGTGACCCCTCCTCCTGCTCCAGACCTCCAGCCGTGTTGGGCATCGTAAGGGAGTCAGGCTCCACACCCACCATCGGAATATCATCCCTGGTCGGACCATTCAGCATCCCCGTGGTGAGACACCTTCAGGATTTGGCTCTTTAGAGGTAGTATACTCAATGTCAGCTATGTATGAAACCTCAATTCAAATCTTCCCTTTCCTTCCACACAGATTAGCCTTTTTGCCACCTGTGCTTCTCTGAGTAATAGAAAAAAGATCCCCAGAGTAGATCCCTGGCAATGCTGGTCGAACACTTTGTCTGGACCTGGGTGGGAGTGCTGAAAAGCAACAATGATTATGGAAACAACGGCATGGCCACCTACATGGAGACAGAGTGGAAGGAGGCCATGTCCCACACAGACCCCGAAGAGAGGCCCCTGGAGGCGGTCAGGGTGATGTGGAGGGCCACAGCCAAGGGTGGTGGTACTGTTCCTGCGCTTGGGGGACATCATCTCCCTGCTGAATGAGCTGGCCCTGGAGGGAGACCCAGGGCTGCAGTGGGTGGGCAGCGAGTCCTGGATCACAGCCAGACTGCTGGTCGGAGAACGAGGCCTACAGCTTCCTGAGGGGGGGGGGGTGGTGGGCTTTGCCATCTGGAGGGGTTCCTAGACAGGGTGCACCCCTCCCAGGCACCAGACAACACCCTGCTCAGGGAGTTCTGGGGGACTGTGTTCCAGTGCTCCTTCGAGGGTGGCGGCGAAGAGGGCAGCAGCACGCTGTGCACAGGAACAGAGAGCTTAGCAGAGCTGAAGAACCAATACACTGATGTGTCAGAACTGAGAACATCCAAGTGTATACGCCATCGCACATTATCTACACAACCTACTGACACAAAGCATATCCTATGAATCACCCCACTCACTCTCTCTCTCTCTCTCTCTCTCTCTCTCTCTCTCTCTCTCTCTCTCTCTCTCTCTCTCTCTCTCTCTCTCTCTCTCCCTCTCCATGTTGTTAAGCAGGTGCTATAGTACCTGAAGGATGTAAGGTTTAGAGTGAAGGCTGGAGAGAAGATTTGGTTTGATGCTAATGGGGATGCGGTGGCGTGCTACGACCTGGTGAACTGGCAGCAGGAGGAGGATGGTACCCTGCAGTTCCATGCAGTGGGGTTGTATGACGCCTCGATGCCCCCTGAACAGCGCTTTACCATCAACCAGGGAAAACTGGTCTTGGCAGGGGGCCATATTGACTATGTTGCAAAAGCATAACACATGCAAACCTAAAAACACTGCAAATGTAAAACATGCATTCTATAATGTACCTGTTTTACACAATCACATACCCTACCTCACAAATACCCCTCATTCACTATGATGAAAAAATATGAATTGTATTTTTCATATCACTTAACCAAGTAGTGACATAAAAAATGGTTGTGAAAATGTACCAATTGTTAGCACAAAATTATTTACATAAAATACACCAATATTCACACGTGTTGTATTTCTCTGCAGGTGCCTGTGTCAGTGTGCAGTGAGAGCTGTCCCCCAGGCACTCGTAAGGCTGCACAGAAAGGAAAGCCTGTCTGCTGTTATGACTGTATCCCATGTGCAGAGGGAGATATCAGCAACGCTACAGGTGATGCACAAACACACAGCACAGATTAGTAACATCACAGATACTACATGATGCATTTAGGCCGACCCACAATACCTTTCAAGCTCTATCACTGCACAATGAGACCAATAGATATCAAAGAACACATGACACAGTGGCCTGATTCACGGAATGAATGATGATGTTCTGAAATCTCCTTGAAGATTCTAACGGCTGCTATCGTTCGTGACTTGGAGTATTGGTCAAATGAGAACAGGGACCGCTGTGTGTTGAATTCCTCTCCCATGAAGAAGTCATGGGCATAGTTCTGGTATTTGTGTCCTTACTGGGGTGCTGTGTTACTATTCTGGTAGCTGTTGTGTTGTTTTCGTCAGGGACAACAACTCTGAGCTGAGCTTCCTGCTGCTCTTCTCCTTGACTCTGTGTTTTCTGTGTTCTCTTACTTTCATTGGCCGGCCCTCTGAGTGGTCCTGTATGCTGCGCCACACAGCGTTTGGGATCACCTTCGTCCTCTGCATCTCTTGTGTTCTGGGGAAAACAATAGTGGTGTTGATGGCCTTCAGGGCTACAATTCCAGACAGTAATGTCATGAAATGGTTTGGGCCTCCACAGCAGAGACTCAGTGTTCTGGCTTTCACTCTCATACAGGTCCTGATCTGTGTTCTCTGGTTAACAGTCTCCCCTCCTTTCCCCTACAAGAATATGAAGACCTATAAGGAAAAGATCATTCTAGAGTGTGATGTGGGTTCAGCTATTGGTTTCTGGGCTGTGTTGGGGTATATAGGACTCCTGGCTCTCTTGTGCTTTGTGCTGGCTTTTCTGGCTCGAAAGCTGCCTGATAACTTCAATGAGGCCAAATTCATCACCTTCAGCATGCTCATATTCTGTGCAGTCTGGATCACCTTTATCCCAGCTTATGTCAGCTCTCCTGGGAAGTTCACTGTAGCTGTGGAGATATTTGCTATTCTGGCCTCTAGTTATGGTTTACCTTTCTGCATATTTGCTCCTAAATGTTTCATTATATTACTGAGGCCAGAGCAAAACACCAAGAAACACATGATGGGGAAGAGATCCAATGATATACGTTATTAAAGAAACACATGATGGGGAAGAGATCCAATGATATACGTTATTAAAGAAACAGATGATGGGGAAGATATCCAATGATATACGATATCAAAGAAACAGATGATGGGGAAGATATCCAATGATATACGATATTAAAGAAACAGATGATGGGGAAGATATCCAATGATATACGATATTAAAGAAACAGATGATGGGGAAGAGATCCAATGATATACGATAATAAAGAAACAGATGATGGGGAAGAGATACACAATGATATACGGTTATTACAAGAAAACACATGATGGGGAAGATATCCAATGACATACGTTATTAAAGAAACAGATGATGGGGAAGATATCAAATGTTATACTATAGCTCAGTTGGTAGAGCATGGCGCTTGCAACGCCAGGGTTGTGGGTTCGTTTCCCACGGGGGGCCAGTATGAAAATGTATGCACTCACTAACTGTAAGTCGCTCTGGATAAGAGCGTCTGCTAAATTACTAAAATGTAAAAATGTAAAATTATATAAAGAAACAGATGATGGGGAAGACATCCAATGTAATATACGATATTAAAGAAACAGATGTTGGGAAAAGTGTCATCCAAAGCCCTTTACGATTAATACTAACCATTGGCCTATTCAAAGTCATTCTATAAATAGATACAGACACAGAAACATAATTTCAAAGTCAGTCATGGGTTAACTCCGTCCTCAGGCTCAATTGCTGCCGCACATATAGTCTGGAAACACTGCAACAAAGTGGGACTTGAAAGGGGAAGGGTTCAAATCGAGGAGGGAGAGACAGAGCTTGCTACAGCTGTATTCAAAATAAATGTTCTATCACAGCGATCATATTATTTTTGGGGAAGCCCCAATTGATTCTGAGTTTGGGTATATAAAGTTTACATGTGAAAACTAGATATGGATTTCCCGAACTCACTTCCTTGTTTAGCCTAAATCGTTTTCACTGCTCGCGCTTTTGAAACCCACAATGTAGAGGGGAGGTTCCACGGGTGATGCTAGATGGTGACAGGTTATGCTACATGGTGATGGACTGAGAGATCAGCCAATGAAAATCCAGAGGGAGCTTTTCCCGCCCTCTGCCGTGGGCTCCATTCAAGTCTCTTTCTGTGGCGCTGTGAAACCAGACGGTTCAAAAGAGAGAGTCGGCTGGTGGACGAGATGAATCATGGGTATGTGGATGTTAAATAAATCCCCCCTTCCTGAACACACAATCCCAACAGGATCCAACCACTCCCTGTGCACTAATAAACGACACATTATGCCAAGCAGCCATATCTACAGGGGGTATGGTCAGCACATCATGAATGTCAAGGACAATAATGAAGCAGAAAGAAAATCACATTTCTGATATCGCCTGTGTGTTAACTCTGTTCATCATCACTACTCAGCCCCAGCAGCCACTGACAGCTCTGGTGTGCTTCCACAGGCCCCCCTTAGTGACTGCTGCTGTCTCACAGGCCTGCTCTGGACAAGCTTGATCTACTGTCTCATCAAAAAACCACATTGACTTCTTAAAACCCTCCCGTTGTCCTAGGGTCAAAATGACCCGCCACTGTGTTGAACCAACTTTATTTAATTTTTATATTTTTGGGATCATTTGTGAGAAGGAGGCAGTGAGAATTTAAAGAAAGTATCACTGCCTCCTTCTCACAAATGATCCAAAAAACTATAAAAATTAAATAAAGTTGGTTCAACACAGTGGCGGGTCATTTTGACCCTAGGACAACGGGAGGGTTAAACCTCACCGCATAGGCCTGTGGGCCACCACCTAAATGTCTCAATACACCAATGGGGCTGTGGCATTCATACCACTATCAATACAAAACAAGGTCTCAATAGACCCTTTTCCAGTACACGACACACTGACGTCACACACACAGATGCTGCAGTAAGAAAGCCATCGCCATCTGCGCCCATTCAACACAGCCTACATTTACGTTTGTATTACTTCTAAACAAAATAACTTTTTGGGGGGTTCTCATACACTTACAATTATGTTTTGATTCTTGCTAGAACAGTCACTAAGATTATATTTGGTTGTGATCTTTGCAAAATTACTATTTGGGATGCAGCAGTTGTTAGCTAGAATGCTAACGCCCGTTGAAATAGGCTGTAGCAAAACGTAGCCAAAGAGCCATTTTACTGGTTGAAGTTGAAATGTTTTTAAAGTATAATGCAGTTGATTTGTGATGATGACACAAACATTATATTAAGCAGGACATTCATAAAAGCCTTAGAATCCAATTATAATCCAAAAGCAATGTGAAATGCACTCATAAGGAACATGTAAATACAGACTATTTTTTGCTGGCGTTCTATAAGAACTCCCCCTTGTTCTGCCACCAACTTGTGCGCATCGCCCTCGCGCAGCAGTGGTTGTAATAAACAAGTCAATGGTCTAATATCTCTGGATCTCAAGTCTTCCTTGCATTATCACAACGCTAGTAAAATACATTTTCCATGAAGAAAAGTTGTGTTACTTGATTCAGCTGGCCAAAGGTATTTGTAACAACAGTCTACATCAGCTTACAAGCTCTTTCCCAATGATGTAGAGTTAAATTAAGAGAGTAAAAACACAAGAGAAATGAAACACACAAGATTTAAGCTATATACAGAGTGTACCAATACCATATCAATATGTAGGGGTACAAGGTAGTTGAGGAAGGTATGTACATGTAGGCCGGGGTAAAGTGACTAGGCAGCAGGATAGATACTAACAATGATAATGATAATGATAATGATAATGATAATGATAATGATAATGATAATGATAATGATAATAATAAAATAATAATAATAACAATGTTAATAATGATAATAATGATAATAATGATGATGATAATGATTATAATGATATTAATGATAATAATAATGAATATAATAATAATGATAATGATAATAATAATGATAATAATCATAATAATAATAAAGTAGCAGCAGTGTATATGATGATGTGTACATGTATGAAAGTGTGTGTTTGTGTGTGTGTGTGTGTGTGTGTGTGTGTGTGTGTGTGTGTGTGTGTGTGTGTGTGTGTGTGTGTGTGTGTGTGTGTGTGTGTGGTGTCAGTATTTGTGTGTATGAGTGTGTGCGTAATGTGTGTGTGTGTGTGTTTGTGTGTGAGTGTGTGGATAGATTGCTGTGAGTGTGCATAGAGTCAGTGCAAAACAGAGTCAGTGCAGATATCCCGGGTAGCCATTTGATTATTTATATTTAACAGTCTAATGTCTTGGGGATGGAAGCTGTCTTGGAGCCTGTTGGTCCGAGACTCAATTCTCTGGTACCGCTTGCCAGATGATAGCAGAGAGAACAATACGTGGCTTGGGTGGCTGGAGTCGTTGGCAATTTTCCAGGCCTTCCTCTGACACCACCTGATACAGAGATCATTTGTGGCAGGGAGCTCGGCCCCAGTGATGTACTGGGCCGTCCTCACCACCCGCTGGAGAACCTTCCAGTCGAGGGTAGTGCAGTTGCCGTACCAGGCGGTGATGCAGCCAGTCAAGATGCTCTCGATGGTGCAGCTGTAGAACCTCTTGAATGATCTGAGGGCCCATGCCAAATCTCTCTTGATGCTCCTGAGGGGGAAGAGGCACTGTGGTACCCTCTTTACGACTGTGTGGGTGTGTATAGACCATGTTAAGTCCTTAGTGATGTGGATCCCTAAGAACTTGAAGCTCTCGACCCGCTCCACTGCAGCCTCGTCGATGTGGATGGGGGCGTGCTCACCCACCTGTTTCCTGTAGTCCACCATCAGCTCCTTGGTCTTACTGACATTAAGGAAGAAGTTGTTGTCCCGGCATCACACTGCCAGGTCTCTGACCTCCTCCCTGTAAGCTGTCTCAACGCTGTCGGTGATCAGGCCTACCACCTTCGTGTGTGGCCACGCAGTCGTAGGTGAACAGGGAGTATAGGAAGGGACTAAGCACGCACCCCTGAAAGATCCCTGTGTTGAGGTCCAGCGTGGCAGAGGTGTTGTTGCCTATCCTCACCACCTGGGGGGCGGCACGTCAGGAAGTCCAGGATCCAGTTGCAGAGGTAGATGTTCAGTATTAGGGTCCAGAACTTGTTGATGAGCTTGTAGGGGACTATGGTGTTGAACGTTGAGCTGTAGTCAATGAACAGCATTCTCACATAGGTATTCCCCTTGTCCAGGTGGGGGAGAGCAGTGTGAAGTGCAATTGAGATTGTGTCATCTGTGGATCTGTTGGGAAGGTAAACAAATTGGAGAGTGTCCAGAATGTCTGGGATGATGGTGTTGATATGTGCCATGACCAGCCTTTCAAAGCACTTCATGATTACAGATGTTTTTTTGACAGGTTACCTTAGTTTTTTTGACAGGTTACCTTAGAGTTCTTGGGAACAGGAACAATGGTGGTCAGCTTGTTAGGATTACAGATTGGGTAAAGGAGAGGTTGAAAATGTTGGGATTACAGGCTGGGTAAGGAGAGGTTGAAAATGTTGGGATTACAGACTGGGACAAGGAGAGGTTGAACATGTTGGGAATGAAGACTGGGACAAGGAGATGTTGAAAATGTCCAGCACACTAACTATAAATCAGAAGTAAGTGCAATGTCTAGTGGTCTGAAGCAAGACACACTAATATAGTGAGGGAAAAAAGTATTTGATCCTCTGCTGATTTTGCATGTTTGCCCACTGACAAAGAAATGATCAGTCTATAATTTTAATGGTAGGTTTATTTGAACAGTGAGAGACAGAAGAATCCAGAAAAACGCATGTCAAAAATGTTATACATTGATTTGCATTTTAATTAGGGAAATAAGTATTTGACCACTCTGCAAAACATGACTTAGTACTTGGTGGCAAAACCCTTGTTGGCAATCACAGAGGTCAGACGTTTCTTGTAGTTGGCCACCAGGTTTGCACACATCTCAGGAGGGATTTTGTTCCACTCCTTTTGGCAGATCTTCTCCAAGTCATTAAGGTTTCGAGGCTGACGTTTGGCAACTCGAACCTTCAGCTCCCTCCACAGATTTTCTATGGGATTAAGGTCTGGAGACTGGCTAGGCCACTCCAGGACCGTAATGTGCTTCTTCTTGAGCTACTCCTTTGTTGCCTTGGCCGTGCATTTTTCTGGATTTTTTTGTTGTTATTCTGTCTCTCCCTGTTCAAATAAACGTACCATTAAAATTATAGACTGATTAAATCAACAGGGGATCAAATACTTTTTTCCCTCACTGTACAATGAACAAAAATATAAACGCAACATGCAACCATTTCAAAGAGTTAAAGTTTATATAAGGAAATCAGTCAATTGAAATTAATTAATTTGTCCCTAATCTATGGATTTGACATGACCAGGAATACAGATATGCATCTGTTGGTCACAGAAACCTTTAAAAAAAAGGTAGGGGCATGGATCAGAAAACCTGTCAGTATCTGGTGTGCAGCGCGACACATCTCCTTCGCATAGAGTTGATCAGGCTGCTGATTGTGGCCTGTGGAAAATTATCCAACTCCTCTTCAATGGCTGTGCGAAGTTGCATCCCAAACATGCTCAATGGGTGAGTATGCAGGCCATAGAAGAACTGGGACATTTTCAGCTTCCAGGAATTGTGTACAGACCCTTGCAACATGGGGCCGTGCATTATCATGCTGAAACATGAGGTGATGGCGGCAGATGAATGGCATGACAATGGGTCTCAGGATCTCGTCACGGTATCTCTGTGCATTCAAATTGCCATCGATAAAATGCAATTGTGTTCGTTGTCCTTAGCTTATGCCTGCCCATACCATAACCCCACCGCCACCATGGGGCACTCTGTTCACAACGTTGACATCAGCAAACCACTCACCCACATCACGCCATACACGCTGTCTGCCATCTGCCAGGTACTGTTGAAACCAGGATTAATCAGTGAAGAGCACACTTCTCCAGCATGCCAGTGGCCATCGAAGGTGAGCATTTGCCCACTGAAGTCAGTAACGACGCCAAACTTTCGGGTGGCTGTAATGACGCCGAACTGTCTGAGGAAGCCAGATGTGGAGGTCCTTGACTGGCGTGGTTACTCGTGGTCTGCGGTTGTGAGGTCGGTTGGACGTACTACCAAATTCTCTAATACGATGTTGGAGGCGGCTTATGGTAGAGAAATGAACATTAAATTCTCTGGCAACAGCTCTGGTTGACATTCATGCAGTCAGCATGCCAATTGCACACCACCTCAAAACTTGAGACATCTATGTCATTGCGTTGTCTAACAAAACTGCGCATTTTAGTGTGGCCTTTTATTGTCCCCAGCACAAGGTGCACCTGTGTAATAATCATGCTGTTTAATCAGCGTCTTGATATGCCACACCTGTCAAGTGGATGGATTACCTTGGCAAAGTAGAAACTTTTGCGCACAAAATGTGAGCGAAATGAGCTTTTTGTGCGTATGGAACATTTCGGGGATCTTTTTATTTCAGCTCATGTATCATGGGGCCAACACTTTACATGATGCGTTTATATTCGACTTCAGTT